TTTTGATTATTTTTAATAACTGAGCAAAGGAAAGCACGAGATATAATCTTCTGGAGGCACGAGCAATTCTCTACGGTTCTGAAATTTATTGGGATTCAGTAGAAAGAGCTGCCCCCCCCCCCCTCTCCACACACACACACACACACACACACGTGCTTTTTACGCTGTAAACAGGTTGCTCATTTCTTTAATGTCACTCATTTCACAGAGACCTCTGCTGGCTTGCTTCATGCAGAAACAGGCACATCGCCCTGTGAGCCAGCTTGTCGTTTCTTTAACACAAGATGATACCAATTGCTTACAGCTAAGACCTGTTATTTTACATCTCTTGTTTCTTTCGCAATTCCTCCCCCGTTTTCCTCTGGGTTGCTAAAGAAACATCTTAAATTCTGTAACCTCTTTTGCATCACTGTGAAGCCAACGAACAATAGTCTCGGGAAAGATCTGAAATGTTGGCAATTTACTGGTTCTATTACCTCTCTTTCTCTCCCTTCTCCTTTTCCTTCCCCTCCCAAACTATGCTGCCCGATTAATAATGCATGTGGCACAATGCACGATAATGAAGCGTTAGCTGCAGAACTGATGTTTGTACGACTGACATCCTTCAACTTGGATCATGGTACAGACACACGGAGTCCTCTTTGCATTGTGAAAAGACCAACCGAGGAAAACTGCACGAAAACTATCAGTTTCTTGCAGCTCAGTGGTTGGAGCACTCGCCTCGCAAGCAATAGACCTGGGTTCGGTTCCCGGGCAGGGTGAAATACTGGGCCAGTTTCCTTACTCCACACGCCTCTGTTTACCCAGCAGTCAGTACGAACCCTGTTGTTAGTTGATTGGCGGGTCATTTTTCCGGGGGTAATAATCCCTTCGAAAAAATAATACCAATAATAATTTGGTCACTTCAATCCACGACTGTTTGCAGGACACGGCTGTGTGCAATTGGTTGCCACGTTTCGCCCACAAAATACACAGTCACTTCACGTATATCCTGTGAAGCGCTTTGAGACGTCTCGAAGACATGATAAGACACAAAATCAAATGCAAGGATTATTATTAGAGTACAGCATAGATTCACAAGGATGATACCAGGATCGGCAGGTTAGGATTATTGCAAGGATTATTTTTCTTTCTATCATTATTATTAATTTCATTCTATTTGATGATTTTCCCCCGTTCCTCCCTAAGATCTGGGCAACGCATTTTACGTGGCTTTGCGAGAACCTCTTCCTGAAAAGGAAAACTGTTTGGAATTTTTTTCGGATAAACATTGCTCAATTTTTTTTTCCCCAGCTCTTGCAGATATTGTTCCTTCGCTTTCTTTCTGTCTACCCACCCACATCCCCCCACCCCACCCCCTCTCTCTCTCTCTTTCTGTATGCGCACATCTTCAGCAAAATAAAACCGTATCATTCCACTGCAGATGTGTCTGCCTTTGTCGACAATCACCAGCAGTGACTATTTATGATTTTACAACATGCCTTCTCAGCACTAGTTCCGAGGAGGAGGATCACTGAGCTGGTAAACAAGCAGACACTGAATGAAGGGAAACATAAGAGAGGAAAAGGAACACTTTTTCTGCTGCACTGCAGATAATCATTCAGAAAATATGCTTGTTTGGGCCGTATTTTATTATATTAGAGCTGGAGAGGATGAGGAGAAGGGAACGGTTTCTTTACCCAAAAGGTTATTATTGACTGGAACAGCTTGCTGGGAAGGTTCGAGTGAGGCCAGAGTACTTTTTCATTGGCAACGGCAACAATTTGCATTTATATAATGTAATAATTTGATGTAGCGCCTTATCATGGGTTCAAGACGTCTCACTTTACACGGGTTTGGGATCAGCAGGGTTGGAGGGAGAGCAGGGAGGGTGGGGGTAGGAGGGTGATTTGAGGCGAGGTCGAAGAACAAAAAAAAGATGGTAAGAGAAGATGTATAAACCTGAATTCAAAAAGGGAAACTGCAATAAAAAGAGTGAAATAATTCTGGTTGGATTTGACAGTGGAAAGCTTTGGACCTCGCCTGAGAGTTTATTACCAGGTGTAACGTGCCACATTTTTATAAAGCAGCCAGTGAGTAAAGTGAATTGACTGTATATTTTGTGGGTGAAAAGCAGCAGCCAATTGCGCACAGCAGCGGCCCACAAACAATCGTGAATTGAAGTGACCAAATTATTATTTTTTGTTGTTGAAGGGATTATTACCCTTTGTTCCTCCTTACTGCTCGGTGAACGGAGGCGTGTGGAGTACGGAAACTTGCCCAATGTTTCGCCCTGCCTGGGAATCAAACCCAGGTCCTCCCTCTTGTGGGGCGAGCGTTCTAACCACTGAGCTACAGGACTCCACAGGAATTTTTATCGTTTGGAAGTGCTGCAACTGTTAAGAATCATAAATCCGTGAGAGACTCTTCGAAACACGCACAATGTGAAAGGTGCAACCTCAAACGTAAGGATTACTTATCGTTTAAGCGGGAAAGTCAAAATGTACAGTGGCAAAAAGATAATAAAAACAACAACAAACAACAAAGCACATTTGTACAGCGTCGTTCACGCCGGGAGGACGTCCCAAGGCACTGGGCAGTCAGGGATTCAGACCCGAGCAGGGGGTTTGGGATCAGCAGGGTTGGAGGGAGAGCAGGGAGGGTGGGGGTAGGAGGGTGATTTGAGTCGAGGTCGAAGAGCAAAAAAAAAGATGGTAAGAGAAGATGTATAAACCTGAATTCAAAAAGGGAAACTGCAATAAAAAGAGTGAAATAATTCTGGTTGGATTTGACAGTGGAAAGTTTTGGACCTCGCCTGAGAGTTTATTACCAGGTGTAACGTGCCACATTTTTATAAAGCAGCCAGTTTAATCTTTGGAAAAGATTTGGGAAAAGAGGCCCATGCAGCTGGTTTTCAGTCAAGACAATTTTTTTAATATTAAAACTGCTCCCAATTCACGAAGCAGACAGAATAGATCTAACGTTTCAGCTTTTATAATAAAAGAAAGTAAGAAGCACGAAAGCTTGAATTAGAGGCCTGTTTACTCCACGGCTACAGTAAGAGAGAGAAAAAACAAAGGGGTTTTTTTCAACAAGAGAAGAAGCCAATGAGGGAAAAAAAATCAATAACTTGATGCAAATAATGCAAACCACGAAAAAGCTGTTTCATCTCGTACTGAACAGTAGAACGAGAGGACATGGCCTGCGATTGAAGGAGGTGGGGGGGTAAATTCAGAAAAAAATCTGTGGAAAGACTACTTCAGTGAGCAAGTAATAAACTTATGGAACTGGCTTCCTAGGGAGACAGACAGTGGAAACAAAAAATGTTATTTGTTTCAAGAACGAATAAGATAGATTTTTGCTAGAAAATAATATCTCGGGTTACGGTATATAGTTTGGGACTCATGTCAAGCGACTGCCAGGATGGTGGAAGGCGAACTAGATGGATCTTGGTCTTCGTTTGCCCGGCAAATTCTTCTGAAAGGCAGTTCAGATTGGCGGGCATTGCATTGGCACAATGGATGAGGGTGACCAGAGAGGGTGACAACAACAACAACAAGATTGCATTTATAGAGTGGCTTTCACGTCGGGAGGACGTCCCAGGGCGCTGGACAGTTGGGTCGGGACCCGAGCATTGGGGGGAAATGGTCAGGGTGAGGGGAGGGAAGGGAGGGAGGGAGCGAGGAGGGGGTAGAGAGTCGAGAGGGGAGCTGAAGGCTCGGTCAAAGAGAAAGGTCTTGAGACCGGCCTTGAAGGAGGAAAGGGAGGAGGCGGCGAAGGCACTGGGGGATGGAGTTCCAGAGCCGAGGGTCTGAGAGGCTGAAGGCCCGACCACCGATGGTTTGGGCGATTGGGGCAGGAGATGTGGAGCAGACCGGACCATTGAGAGGCATCTGATGTCCGGTTTTAGAAGAAATATCTGGTAAAAGTAGAGTGACAACAACAAGAACTTGCATTTATATAGAACTCTTCACCCAGGTCAGGGTCTTGGATGCTGAAGGAACGCGATAGTCCATCCACTTCTCATAGAGTGTGAAGCTCTTTAGAAACGTCTCAACGACGTGATAAGGTGCTGTCTCAAACACGAGGATTATTATTATAAATCAAAGCACGTTGGTGGCCTTCGAAGAGAAGCCTTTAAGCGACCACAGTCATCTTTTAATATAAAGGCCAATGAATCTTGAAGAAATCCTATTCTGTTTACAGTCTATCAGAGAAGCCAGCTCTCACCATCATTCTCTGTAGACGGAGATAGATAGCTATTTGTTAGGTCGGGGTATTAGGGGATATGGGGCAAGGAAGGGTAATTGGACTTGAGGTGCAGAGCAATCATGATCTTATAAAATGGCGGAACAGGCTCGAGGGGCTGAATGGCCTCCTCCTGTTTCTATGTTTCTCTGGTGTATGGGTTGCAATACCAAAGTCACATTAATCAGCACAGTGCCAAAGTGCACAGGTTTTTTTTTCTTTTGTCCATCTTGTATCATCAATTTCTGAAATGACTCATCACTCACCTGCACTGAATACCGTGCTGAAGCATTCAGAAGTAAATTGGAGGAACCACTGATCCAAAGGAAGAGTCTAAGTGCTAAGCTTGTGCAGGAAAATCGGCAATTAAAAAAACATAGTCAGATTGAGCAGCTGAAAGAGATGACGAAGCAAGCTTCAACAGGACCAAAATTTATAATAATGATAATAATAAATTGGTCACTCAATCCACGACTGTCTGTGGGACGCTGCTGTGCGCAATTGGCTGCCACGTTTTGGCCACAAAATATACAGTCAATTCACTTTACAGCCTATTCCGTGAAGTGCTTTGAGACGTCGCAGAGACCTGATTAGGTGCTACATCAAATGCAAGGATTATTATTATCATCATTCACGCCTTGTTCCCTTTTCCTACATTTGCAATGTATGGATTATTTCTGATCAATTGTGTGCATTTTGTTTTGCGGGGGGAAAGGGGGAGGGGGTTGGGGGTCTAAACAAAGCTAATGCTTCAATTAAAAAAATCAACTTACCTGAAAAATGTGACAAAGAATTGGACCAGATCCATAAAACTACTGTGCTGTGAAAAGGAGATCTGTGGAGGGACAGACATAAACGACATTATTATTGCACTTAATGATTGGACAGGACCGATATAAACTCAATCTATTTTTCATTACATTTCCAGAACTATTTTACATCCCATTTATTTACTTGGAAAAAAAAACTATGAGCACTGATTGCGATTCTTTTCAAAAGCTAACCAAACCCCTCAACACAATGGCAAAGTGTACAAAGAGTCGATATTACTACCTTGGTACAAAGGGATATTCTTGAATGGCTTATCGATGATAATCAACAGAGTATTTATTAACATGTATGGCAGACACCGATTCTGGTACAAAAAAACATCATGAATGAACAATAATCAGATATTTTGCATTCTTACTTTTGTTTGCTGGTCTAATGTTGCACGTCAAGATACTGAATCATTCTAAATATTAACTTTTATGTTATTCGGTCCTGTGGAGTCCTGTAGCTCAGTGGTTAGAGCACTCGCCTCACAAGCGAGAGGACCTGGGTTTGATTCCCGGGCAGGGCAAAACGTTGGACAAGTTTCCTTACTCCACACGCCTCTGTTTATCTAACAATAAGTAGGAACCCGGTTGTCAGTCGATTGGTGGATCGCTTTTCCAGGGGTAATAATCCGTCAAAAAAAAATAATAATAAAAAATAATAACAATTTGATCCCTCGTTCCACGACCGCTTGTGGGACACTGCTGTGTGCAATTGGCTGCAGCAATACAACAATCAGTTAACTTTATAGGTGTATCCTGTGAAGCGCTTTGAGACGTCTGAATAACGTGATAAGGCGTTGTATCAAATGCAAGGATTATTATTATTATTAATCAGCATGGTTGATGTACCCACGTTCCAAACAGAAAATCCAAAACTGGGAAAATAATTTTAGTAGTCCTTGTGAGTACAGAAAATTATAGCCTACACACATGTGGCTGTTCAGGCTTCCTATAGCTTCGCTGATATCAAATATAATAATCCTTGCATTTGATATAGCGCCTTTCAAGTTGGGAAGACGTCTCAAAGTGCTTCACAGGATGTACTGGAAAGAGTAGTGACTGTATTTTGCAGGCAAATGCAGCAGCCAATGAGACCACAACATCCCACAAACAGCCACGGAGTTGAATGATCAATTTTATTTGGGGGATTGCTGGCCAGGACACTGGGATGAATTCCCTTCTCTCATCGAATAGCATTCCGGGGTCTTTAACATCCACCTGAACAGGCTGTCAAGAACTTCGGTTTAACGTCTCGCCTGAAAGATTATCCGGATCAGCTACAAATACCCACATTTGCTGATGAAAATCTGCAGAACCCTGCCAGCCCCACGTCAGGAAACAACGGCATTTGACATCAAATCACCCGCAGCGTTTAGACAGGAAATCCACGGTATCAGGGAGTGAGCCGCGCTGACCGATCTTGTGGCAATAACAACACTCCACTTCACAACTCCCAGCAACAGCCCCACCTGCTTAACTGAAAACCAGGTTGAACGGTGCTTTAGAAATGTGAATTGATAAGATCTTCTCATTCGTTTTCAAACCACTTCACGCCCCCACACCTCCCTACCTCTCTGATCAGCTTACGCCCCCACTCCACCACCCGCTGCTTCCACTCAGCTGGTTCCCATCTCCTACTTGTCCCTCCATTCTACGTGCCTTCAGTCACTATGCCCCGAAACTCTGAAACTCTCTCCCTCAATCCCTCCGCCTTGCCCCCTCCCTGCTCTGGTCGAGGTGACAAACGACATTTTGTCCATCTGTGACCGGGGCGCTCTCTGCCTCCTTGTCCTCCTCGACCTCTCTGCTGCCTTCGACACCGTGGACCACTCCATCCTCCTCCACTGCCTTTCCTGTCACCTCAACTTTTAAGGTTCTGTCCTTGAATGGTTCAGGTCTTATCTCTCACACCATCTCCAATTTGTCTCCGCCAACGGTTTCTCTTCCAGCCCCCGCACATTCTCGTGCGGTGTTCCTCAGGGCTCTGACCGCAGTCCCCTCCTTGAACCTCTAGATGCTCCCCCTTGATGACATGGGGTCAACTTCCACATGTATGCGGATGACACCCAACTCTTATCTCTCTGCCGCCACCCTCAATTCCAGGACAACTGACATCCTGACAGACTGTCTGACATCAAGTCCTGGATGAGAGCCAACTTTCTACAACTGAACGTCAGCAAAACCAAGGCCCCACTGATTGACTCATACCAGCACCTCAGGCACTGGCAGCATCATCATCCACAGACGCACACTCCACTTCATCGAGCCTGTCTGGAACCTGGGAGTCTTGTTCGACCCTCAACCGGCCTTTCTCCCCCATATCCATGCCATGACCCACTCCACCTTCCCCAACCTCCACAACATTGACCGACTCCACCACGGCCTCCCGCCTCAGACCGCCGAAACCCTCATACACGTATTCATCACCTCAAGGCTCGACTCCGGAAACGCCCCACTTGTCGGCCTTCCCAACTCTTCCCTCCACAAGCTGCAGATCATCCAGAACTCTGCAGCCCGTGTCCTCTCCCGCACCAGGCTCCTGTCACCCCCATTCTCGCCCGACTCAACTGACTTCCCATCCCCCAGAGGATAGAGTTCAAAAATCCTCGTCCTCACTTACAAGGCCCTCCACCCTCTCGCTTCCTCCTACCACTCTGACCTGCTGAACCCAATCAACCTGCCCACTCCCTCCGCTCAGCAGGTTCTGGCCTGCTCCAGGTTTCCCACCCAACCTGCCCTGCCATCGGCGGCCGGGCTTTCAGCCTCTCTGCCCCCACTCCATCCCACAGTTCCTTCACCTTGCTCCCTCTCTTTCCTCCTCCAAGGCACAACTCAAGACCCTCCTTTTTGACCGTGCCTTCAGCCGCCCTCCTAACCCCTCTGCCCTCCCTCACCCCAACCCTGCCCCCACCCGCCCCATGCTTGGGTCCTGATACCTGACTGTTCAGCGCCTTGGGACATCTTCCCTACGTGAAAGGCGCTTTACAAATGTAATTTAGTTGTTGTCGTTGTTTAACTAACAGTGGCTAGGAACCCAGTCGTGAGGCAATTGACAGATTGCTTTCTGGGGAGTAATAATCCCTTCAAAAAAAAATAAAAAAATTTTGGTCACACAATCCACGACTGTTTGTGGGGACATTGCTATGTGCAACTGGCTGCTGCGATTCGCAGCCAAAATATTCAGTCAATTCACTTGACAGTATATTCTGTGAAGCAGTTTGAGACGTCTCGACTATATCAAGTGCAAGGATTATTACGATTTTTACCTAAGCCTCACCTCCTCCCTCCCCTCATTCTAGACCCAGACAATTTAAATGCACGGCAGATAAAACACAGACATTTTCAGCAGAGAGAGAGTGTGTGTGTGCGAGAGAGAGAGAGGGGAGAGAACGCGAGAGAGATACTGCTCCACCCACAGTCTGTGCCACGATGGTTGGGTCAGCATAGCATTTTTGTTAGCGTTTCCGACGAGAAGGAGTTAATCGCTGGCCCATCATAAAAATAGAGAAACTGAACCTGGTCAAACACAAAGCATTTGGAGCTTACAATGGCACGAAGAGCTTCTGACATATTTCCCCTTGCAATTATTTACAAAGCAAGCTGCAAGGTCACCTTCAAATGCCAATTACGTGACAAATACAGCATTCTGGCAAGACCACAGGAGCAATTTGCCTGCGGTAAAAGGCTTGCTTATTGGCAATGTTATCAGTAACACTGGAGTATGGAGAAATATTAATCCGAGCCCTCATCTTGCTAAGCACTGAAGAATTCAGGCAAGTACCACCTAAAGCTCCTTCTGTCCGCACTGGCTGAAGGGCCCTGGAAAGTTACCAAGCCAAGGTTATCTTTGCCAATGGTCGGAGGGAGGCGATTTCTCTAACACACAAAATGACACTGTGAAAATCTAGCGAATGTCTCCCGTGGTACAGTTAGACAGGCTCAAAATGCCAGGGCAAAATGAAACCCATGCAGTCCTTTTTTTTCTATTAAGCGCCACAGTATTCACTGCCTTCCAATGAACTGAACCCAAATCATGACCCACTCGGAACAGATTGGAGGTGATAATCTGAGGATCATGAACCGTCATGCGAATTACCTGCCCATATTTAAAGTGTTATTCGTGCTTGGCCGTGTGACGCCCGTAAAACTACAGCAAATTCAATTTTAAAACCTCCGCTAAGAAGGGCCTAAACACTGTCATCGACAGGGCACCGGACCTTGAGAATGCGTTAACGTTAATCCTCTCTCTCTGTAGATGCTGCCTGACCTGCTGAGTGTTCCCAGCGACTTATGTTTTTATCGGAAGACTCCCAAACCCACAATATTTTATGACCAGCACAAAATGAATGAAGGAACAAAATGAGCAGATGTTTTGGTGGCCGGTTTTTGTTTGATCAATGGTTAATTATGGGCATTTCATGTTAATAGAAGTGAGCGTACGAGCAACGATTAGACCAGATAGGGCTCTTTAGTCTTGCAAAGCGACATCTCGGAGGATAGCTTAGAGAAGTATCTAAAATGTTAAATGGGATTGAGATTAAAAAGAGATTAATCTCAGAATACTCGGAATACTTTAGGATCCACCCAGACAGCAGAACGAGAGGACATGGGTTTCGAGCGGCAAAGACAAGCGGAAGTATTTCCTTACCCAGAGGGTAATTAATGATTGTAACGGAAGTGTGGTTGAGGCCAGGGTGCTGGACTCATTTAAAAAATGGCTTGATGCTATGATGGGCAGATGGTAGGGTGGGTCTTCTGGAAGGACGAGATTAATTGGATCTAACGGCCTTCTTCATCTGAACCAAATCTTGTGAAATGTCTTGGTCAGTCCAGGGAGACTACTTTCAATTCAACACATACCCCCTAGTCCCAGTAGAAAAACTTACAATCTAACAAAATCTCTCTTTACCTTTTGTGAGGAATCTTCACAGTTAGCACAGTCTGTCTTTCTTCTGGTGGGGAATCCAGAACAAGGGGGCATGGTTTTAAAGTTAGAGCGAGGCCATTTAGGAGTGAA